AAGGAGAGCAACAAAAGTAAAATGAAACTATTGCATCAATGCAAATTGCTATAATTGTATTTGTACACAGTAGAATAATCTGTGAATGAACGAAAATTCTTCGATTAATGTAAAAAGATTATCTGTAATTTTTTAATTGTTACCAGTTTGATTTTGATCGATTTCTATTTTGCGATTAGCATTTTGGCTCGGATTCAAGGAGAGCAACAAAAGTAAAATGAAACTATTGCATCAATGCAAATTGCTATAATTGTATTTGTACACAGTAGAATAATCTGTGAATGAACGAAAATACTCGTCTATCAATGTAAAACTGTTAATTGTATTTTGTTATCTAAGTTTTGACCAATATTAAAATTTGTAATTGCTTATAGAATTTTTGTTATGAGCTTATTGCAAAACACTTTAATTCAGATTAAGAATTGTTAATGTTCAATCTGATATATTTATATATAAATGTGTCTGATTGGATAAGCATTTCTTAATCTCGGTTAAAGAATGCATCCAATCCAATATTAATAAGAAAAATTAATAGAAACGGAAAAATGTAGAAGTTAACCATACAAAGGTTCAGAAAATGGTCACCCTGTATATGCATTGTTACTTTGTTCCTCATTATTGTTATATTTAGTTAAGTTGTAAATCTTGTTAATTCTTTGCTTTATTATTGGCTCAGAAAATTTTTTTGGGTAGTTATTATTAACTAATATTTTTCAGATTTGTTTTTTAATTTTCTTGTCTGTAATTTGGGTGCGATAATTTTATAGCTCTATCTGTAAGTGCAGTTATTACGCTTTTTTTATATTTTTGGGGTGCATATGAATTATAGTTTAAATATCTTCCTGACCAAACTTCTTTTGTATACCAATTTATTTTTATTTCATCAGAATTATCATAACCCGCTAAACAATTTTTCGTTCCAGAAACGTTTCAGAAACGTATATTAAAATCACGAAACGTTTCAGTTACCTGCACTACATGTTTCAGAAATGTTTATGTAACTGCAAATGTCCGCCCTCAGAAACGTCTTACTAAAACGTTTTGCTGAAACATTGCAGAAACGTTTCGTTGAAATGTTACTGAAGCGTTGCGCTAGACGTTATTTAAACGTGGCAAATAAATATTTTGTAACATTATACATGGTGTATCTTTGAAGAGTGCAAATATTTTAATTGGTGGTACATAATGGCCCTAGAAGCAGAACTATAGGATTGCCCTGCTTCGAGGACAAAAATATACCACCAGTTAAAATATTTGTATTCATCAAAGAATCACTATGTCAATCATCAAATCAAATAATTCTATAACGTTTTCATAAAAATATTTACAAAACATTTTTTGCTAACTTGTTTCAAAATGTTTTAAATTTACAATTCACAGGCTCGAAAAGCTGATGAATAGAACTCAAATGGCATATGTATGTATACAATAAAATTTTTATTAAATAAATAAACAAGAACCGACACAAAAATAAAAATAATTTATAAAACTCTGAGCAAAAGACTCAGTTGAGTTGGGATCAATCTTCGTTTTCGACAGCCTCAACCTAAAAGTGAAAAAATAATAATTCAGCGCTATACAGTGTATAGTTTAAAATGATGTATGCAGTATTCAAAATATTCAATATATACAAAACTGTTAGTATTATATAGTTTGCTTACGTTCTTGTTCACCAAACGCCAAAGGTGCCTGTTAGAAATATTTCTTTTCTTTCTTCGGCTCATTTTATTGCCCCTAAATAATATTCATAAGCATTTTAGTACATAAATGAACTGAACAACTCGAAATGAGAACAGCATAACATCGTCCACATGGTCTAAGTTAGAGCTAATTTAAAGTTTCTACAAATAAAAAAGATAGGTACTTACCAATATATTATCACTTATTTTGAATCACTCAAGTAATCTAATAATGAAAAATGAAATAATACAACCTCCCAAATAATGCGTTGTTCGGAGAAACGATAGTGGTTGTTTCATAAGATAAGTGCCATGCGCGATGGGAACCGGTAGAACCATGAATCTCATGTATGCTAAAGACGTTTCTGGAACATTTTTGAAACGTTTCCATCATATGTTACATTTGCGCAATATAACTGCACATTTGAAACGTTCCAGTTATGTTTCATGTTTAGCGGGAATTTACTGTTATGTCTAAAAAATGTATTGATTGATTTTTATCCTTTTCCATTGTAAATTTTACAGTATCGTGAAAATTGTTGAATTTATCTAGGGTCTATTGAATTTGATCTTTGGGTAAACACATTAAGCAATCATCCACATAGCGTTTAAAGAAAGTCGGTTTATAATTGTTTATAATTTAGGCTTGTTATTACGTTTTTTTCCAAGCTTTCCATAACAAGGTTTGCAGTTGTTGCTGATATGGGCGAACCCATTGCTACACCGTATATTTGTGAATAATATTTTTCTTCACACTTGAAATATGTAGATTTTAGGCATAGTTCTACCGCTTCAATAAATTATTTTTTGGGAATTGTTGAATGTTGTTCGATTTCCTTCCAAGTTGGTGTACCTATATTGTTGACGATTGGTCGTAACGATATGTTGTTTTTATGAAGTTTAGGTAGTCCGTATATTACTGGTGCTTGGCCGTTACTGCAGTACAGTGTTCGTTTTGTTTCTTCAGTTATGTAGTTCTGTTTAAGCCAAAAATTCATTATTTTATTTAGTTTTGATTGTATATTGTTGGTTAAATCTTTTTTTTTTCCTTATGTATGATATGTATTGATGTAAGGCTAACATTTTTGTTTGATATTCGTTTTTAAGCATAATTACTGTTTTATTGCATTTATCTGCTGTTAGGGGACACATATATTTGAATTTTTATTTAGGAATTGTTTTGTTTCACATATCAGTCTGTCTATTCCAGTTTCAATCCTACTTTTTTGTCGTTTTTTTGATTTTTAAAATTTGTTAAGACACTACATAATTTGTTTCTGACATTAATGTTTAGTTCGTTGTTTAGTGAAAATATTCCATTTTCGACGTTTGTTTATTTATTTTAACCGGACCGCTGTAGAGAAAACAACGACAAACTGCCATTAAAATGGCTTATTGGGGAATCACCGAATTTAATCAAAGCGCTTCAATTAATCGAAATAAAATCTTTAATGCAAACCCAAATTCCGGTTCAATCGGTCGAGTTTATTTAATTTAAATAAGGTCTGCCATTGTTTGCCAGGCCGGAGTACGACGACTGGCAAACAAGAGCGGGGCTGCTAAGCCTCAAAGTGACTTACCCATTTCTTCTGTCTCTTGTAGGCGTCGAAATATTTAATCGCAATTTCAAGCAGAAAGGTCTGAAACTGCTATCAACTAATTTTGATTGTGGTGATAAATTCGGCGCGTTTTGTTAAACCATAGGCTCAGTGATAAGACAATGAGTTGAGGATCAGTTGCAGGTCATAACAAGCACGTATAATTTATTAGTAAGCGCACCTTGAGACAAAGTAAATTACATTTTAATGCGCCGAAATTGGTTATTCTAACCGAAACACTTACATACATCCAGCCTGGATATGTATGCTGACTGAACGCAGCGCTACTACAAAGCCTGCAACTAAATTCCCTTGTTGCCAGGATATCCAGTCAATGGAAAATCGTATTTAGAACATTTTCGAAGTCGAATTTGGAATAAGAATGCGTTGATTTCCACAGTTTGGAGCAAAAAAAGGGCATGTCTCATGCGAGCTGTCCATGATAATTGACTGATTTTGACGGTTTGAGCTCCGTTGCTAGGGAAACCCGGCTTTTCTATGTCAATGTCATTTCAGAATTGCGTTTTTACAGTTTGAGACTCAAGTGGCGACTTCTATGTGTTTTTCTACCGAGTTTTCACTTGTGGAATTCTGTTTTGTCCGAGTCGAGTTCAGAAACCTTCTTAAGCCCTGTTTGGCCAATAAAATGAGCTTTAATTCAGTGTAATATGCCACTTATTTGCTAACATGCGCAAGTGTAACAATCATCAATGAATTGCGCAGACCAAGAAGCTTCAAATTCCATGTCAACTATTTTATTTAGCTCATGCGAGTAAGAATTCCGATTTAAAAAATTTCGAGCGACACAACCAACCTTTGAGTATAATTTTTCTTAAAAATTATTCTAAAATTATAAACTACACTTACCGAGGAATCAAGCCGAAGCCATGTGAAAAAGATGTTTTACTAAATTGTAAAACATAATAATATTTTGGAGCGTTCCAGACTTTTCATAGGAAGCAATTAGCACCCTGAAGAAGGCTGAAAAAATTAATCGGGTTTTTTTTTCACCACTACCCAGAGCGTATTCCCAAGAAGGAATCACATCTGTCAATAAAATAAATGTCAAATGTCACTCGTTGAGTGCAGTTTATAGTGTAGCCGCCGGGGGCCGTTTGACAAAATGCCGCTGGCTCGCCATTGATAACTGCAAAAATCACGAACCTTTGTTTTTTAGTCTATAACATAAAACCATACTTACACACTTTTCAATGTTTCTATATGTTCAAAATTTAAAAGCTGAGTAGAACAAGTCACAATGACATTTAATAAAAAAATAAGTGTAAAATTTTAACAGTTAAAGTCTAGTTACAATTTAGCCGCCAGTGGGCGTTTGGTCTTTTGAACTCTGCGAACTGTTTCTTTAAAAGCTTGCAAAAGTTGATTAGAACAAAACAAATTACAATCAGATGTAAAGACCAATGTGACACCAATGTCAACAAACAAAGTGTCAAATTACTACTTAACTTGTAGTTATAATTTTAGCCACCAGGGGGCGTCTGGACTCGCGAATAGTAAACCATCTAAAAAATGTTGACAGCCTTGGTTTGAACCACAACTGACAAAACGTAACACGTCAGTAAGATGGCGCCCATCTGACAGAAATGAACATTTTCGGTTAAAAAAAATGGAGTTTTTGGTGAAATTAGTTCAGTTTAGCCTGAGTGTGTGACGCAGTGAATCTATTCCGGAGCTTCATGCTGAGTTTTAACCGATTTTCTCGGCATGACGATGAATGAAGCGCAAAGAAAACCTTGCGGTGTCCCGAGAGAGCTTGTTTGGATCCTCTAGACCAGCGTCACTCAAAGTGTGCTCCGCAAAGCCTACGGTAGGCCTGCGCCGACCATAAAATTAATACAGGAATTATTATTAATACAGGAATCTATATTCAAAAGGAAGGCCTACTTATAGATTTTACGGGAACATAATAATACAGGGTGATTTTTTTATACAGGGAAAAAAATTTATTTCTCGAAATCTTATTAATATGGAATTTGGTAGGCACCATAATCTGTTGCTGCAAGTCTAAATCTAGTATTTTCAAAATGACGGCAATTCCGGAATTAGCGGAAATCGATGTCATCTTCGGTTTTTTAAATGGAAATTTTGATTTCATATTTGGATTCAGCTGTAAATTGTGAGTTCAGAATGTCCATTTGTCAATACTTATCTGTCACAGTTTTTGACATGCCATTTTTGCAAAAAAACAGGGTAGCAGAAGTTCATTAATAAATTAATATTTCCTGAACCATTGCAAATAAATAAACCGGCATTATTTAATTTAATTCCGAAAAGTTTGGCAGACATTCTGCATCGATTCTGACACTTTGGTTATGTTTTATGCTTCTGCTGTGATTTTCCAGTTCCGATTTGATGATTTTAGTGATTTTCAATTTCCCTTGTGAAGTTGACAATAAAAAAATTACAATCTTCACTTTTTTAAATGGCAACTACTATTTTTGACTCCAAAACTAAATGTAAAGTGGTCGGCCATAGAAGCAATCCGTAAATTGAATTTTTTTATCAGAAATCGTAATGCATTGACGACATTTTTTGATTGTAGACATTTTTTGATTGTTAACTTTGAAACACCGCAACAGACGCACGTATACAAGTGTCAGAATCAATGCAAAATGTCGGTCAAACGTTTGAAAATTAATGAAAAAATTGGAATGGTTCAGGAGTTATGATTTTTCAAATAAACCTCTGCATCCCAATTTTTTTTGCAATAAAGGTGACATATGTCAAAAAGTATGACAGATAAGTGTTGACAAATGGACGCTTTAAATCCAAAATTTCATGCTGAACACAAATATGAAATCAAAATAGGGACTTTTAAAAAAAGCCAAGTAAATTTTCGATGTTTTCGGAAGCAAAGCCATTTTGAAAAAAACTTGTAAATAACAGCCGATTATGCCTGTCTACCAATTTTCATTTCATTACAAAAAATGTTTTATTTGTATGCTTATTAATAAGCATGTATAGAGGGAATACTCTCGGGTCTAATAAAATATCTATATCTAACACTACCAGTCTCCCCTGAAAGAAATCTTTGGAAAAATCATAAAACCTTGAAAAATAATGAATGTGTGTATTTCCCTATGCAAACCAATAAAAACATCTTAGCTGGGAATTGTATAAAACAACAATCGGATACCAATCACTTTCATATCGGGTAAAATTCCTTAGTTAAGTACATGAACATTTTGAAAAATACTAGATACAGCTTACAATAGTGGAGTTTAGACATCTATAGTGTTAAAAATCAATTTAAGTAAAAGCGTAGGCTCGTAAAGATTACGCGCTTAGATAAACAGCCCCCAGCTACTTCTGGTGGAACTGTTTAATGCACAACTGGCAACTCCAAGAGCCTTCGGGCGGGTTGACCAATGGAGGCGATAAACAGTACATATGGTAGCCGCGGTCGCAATCGTCACAAAACAGTAGTTGATCCTGAAATCAATTTCATACATAAGAAAAGTCGGAAAACGGGGGAAATTTTACTACATACGTCATTATCACTCGTTCCGCAGACCGAACAGCACTTGCACTCAATACATTGCCAACGGTACTTCTTCACAGAAACCTTCATATTATCGGTGAATTGCAGACATGTGGGATGGCCTAGAAACGTGAAATTTTTCGTTAGTTGTTGGCGTTTAAAGTTCGGCCGCTTAGAGTACTTACGTGTATTCATTTCAAGCCCTCGTCCAGAACTTTGTTACTCGATCAGAGGGAAACAAAGGAACGGATGAGGGAAACTGTGGGTGCCAAAGAACAGGTACTTTCCAAGATATGTGAATTTTTCCAAAATGAAATACACTGGTACAACAGGGCTCCTTCTTGAGTGTTACTGGGCAAAACTGAATAGAAAAATTGACATACATTGAAGTGCACCATGTCACTTCGGCACCGAGAAAAACACCGACATCTACTTAAATGTTAGAAAATTTATTGCACATCTTTTGTTTTGTTGCGGACAAATTTGCGCAGTCTTGGAAAATAACTGTTCTTACAACACCCAACATTTCTTTTGAAAAGAATACAGAATCGTTTGCGTGTCGAAACGTAACTTAAGGGCTAACATTTGAGTATTTTTTCCCGCAAATAAACAATTTCGGTCATTTTCCAGTGTTTTCATCCTCTTTGCCTTCGAACCTAAAAAAAACGCTCACCTTATAGATATTCATACATACACCTATGTAAGTTTCGAGCGAAAAGTAGCCGAAAGGCACATTTTCCCAAAAAAAACACCGCAAAGAAAAATTGCTAGTAAAGGGATTCTTGTAAATGAAAATTCGAACGTGAGGGGAATGAAAACTGGAAAATTCCCATAATTCCTACTCCTACCAACAAATACAGCTACTGAGACAATTTAATTGATTTAATTCATTGATCAAGCTGAAGAGTTTTTTCCTTGATCTGACTTGGAAGACCGTATAAAAGTTAAACGTCCCTCAATTTGCTACTAAAGCTAGGGTGTAAATATTATTTGGTTATTTCAGTCCATGAAATTAGAATAATTACGTATATTTAAGCACAACGTACTATATTAATAACGATTATATAATAATTGTAAATAATCTACCACGTGTGGAAAACGGGATTTACACTGTTATCCGAGCTGGAGGCGACATTAACTCTCTTCAATAATAGCCCTTGCCAGATAGCAACATAAACCGATCGACTGATATAACTCAGGACAGGTCTTTGTTCGGTAAGATTCGCCCGGCAAATAAACCTACTTAGTCCTAGTACTGGCTCTTGACAAAAGAAAATCCTGCAAAAACTCAATCGTTCGAACACCAAACAATAAATAAAACGCAATTTTGACATATCACAGTAAAAAAGAAAACATTTTAGCAGATTAAAGGAATAAATCATAAAGTATTCATTAAATAATGGCAGTAGAAACCAGTATGGTTCTGCATGAGAGGATATTTAAATAGTAGTGAACAGGCCTGGTTTGATAAAACCTCAAATTACAGGTCGGCGCATATTTGTGCGCATCGGACTGAACATATTTGCACTGTTTCTGTTCGTTGGATGCGCACAAGAAGGTATATTTACATTGATATAATTTTTTAACAAAAACAAGTAGCTGATTGTGATACGAATAGACCCTGTAAGTTAAAGATGTATCAATCTTGAGGCAAAGTTCACTTTTATTTCAATCGCCGTGCACAGGTTGATGTTCAGATTTGGAAAAACTTGTGTCAAACAAGCATAAAAAGGTTCCGAAAATCTGAATATCCAGCTATTTGTTGGCACTCAGGGAATAGTCAAGAGAATATTTCTGCTACGCAGGGCGTTCGCTTAGTATTTCACTCTCCAACTGAAGCACCTTTGCTATGGGTGTTCAAATAATGGGTCGTGGACATTGTAAATAAAAAAAATTAAGTCAACCCTTCCCATGCTTTGCACTTCTATACGAATCTCCGGTTGAATAATGGAGCATTAGATGAACACCCTGTAGGGGATGCGGGTTGTGCTTGATTTAGAGGCCTGTTTGGTCGTTAAATTATCACAATTAGTGCGTGACTAGGAATGAACCAGATGCCCGACGTAACCAAAGAGTACAGTGAAACAAATCGTGGCCTTTAAAATGTAGTGGCGCGCACAACCCTCCCAAGCAATACTGCCCGCTGACCATTGCTTATAAGAGCAGTTTCTTTTTGCGGCCTCTCTTGATCTTTTCCTCGCTCTTCATAGGCGTGGCCATATTGAGGGGGCCCTCGTAAAAGGGCGTCGCCCCCGATTCAGGGCCATACGAGCCCGAAGCAAACGAACTACTGCCCTTACCTGAGCGTCCACAGTCGTGGCAAGAGACGAGCTCCTCCACACCACCCGTTTTCTTGTTCTGTGTCGAATCGCCCAAACAAAAATCGCAGTACGGACTAGGCGGAACTTTGCGATCGGCCACCATTGGCGGTAGAATCGAAGGACCGGGCGCGATTGGTTCCTGGGGCGGCATAACGTTGACTAGCGGGATCTCGATCACCTTCTCCGGTTGGAGAATAGGCATCGGGGGGTCATCTCCCATCGGATTGGTGAGGGGCTGAGCGGGCAAGTTGGGCGGCAATGTAGGAGGCGCCTGGTTTGGTCCAGTTAGAGGGTGCGGTGGTAAAGGAGGCTGCGGTATGAGAGGCCCTGCTGGCGGCGCGCCAGGTTGTCTGGAACCACTGCGGCGAGGGGTTCCTGCAGGTGATAGAAAAACCGCCTATTAGATACAAGTGCGCCCCGCGCGTCTTCACGTATACACTGAGACTACGGCCCATCTACTTTGCTCCCAAATCCCAACAAAAAAGATAGTTCAAGAGACACAAATAGAGCAGTTGTGCGCCTACTAGTGTGCTACTACTGCATGCATTCAAAAACCACACTCCAGTAGTTGAAACAGCAACGTTTTGAGCAAAAACGATTAGTGTGACATCTAGCACTTTTGCCCAAAGGCTACGTTTCCAACATGAACTCAAGAGGATCAAACACGATTGAGTAAATAAAAACAAAAGGCATGTACCGGGTGACTGGTTCAAAAAAGAGACGTAGCTGTCTTGGTAGACTTGTCCTGGATTAGGTCCAGGGCCCGGCGAGATGTGTCCATCGGTGGCGCCCCCTGCCGGAGGGCCTGGTGGCCCGGGTACCGGATTGGGGGGAACGCCCGGAAGCCCAGCAGTGCTGTTCACCACCGCATTCATGGGCGAGGGTGCGGCGCTTTCACGCGAGTTTTCGTCGCTAGCACCCTCTTTGTGCGAGTGGCCGTAATGGTAGGTGAGTCCCGGCCGAGTTTTGTAGCGAGCGCCGCATACTGAAAGAGACAGACTGCCGGAAGGACTTTCTTGCTGTGCTAATTACTATAAGGTCTCGCTTCATGAGGTGCTCTTACACCGGGTGATTCAAAAGCGACGTCATCCCTCTAAAAGAAGTGCAAGGGGCAACGATAGACGGCGCGCCACGTCTGGACTCCCGAGGAATCGAACACAGCTGTTCAAGGTGTATTGGAGGGTGTGGGGACAGTATGAAATCAAGTGGGACAACGTTGAAAACAGTGACGTCAGTAGGATCCGAAGCCGCTAGATTTCGCTCACTTAAGCCTTAGTGGACTTTGCCCAACACGTCTTTAATTCCTAGTTTTTGGCACAATGATCGGCGGCATAGAAAAATTAAGAAACAGTGTGTTTTTGCACGAACCATCCGCATTATCCGTTGGTGGTGCCCGACATTCAGCAATTTAGACCACTGCAACACTACAAACGGCATCTCTCTCCCCCTCTCTCTCTCTCTACAACTCCTTCAGATAAATGACGCCAATTGTGAATCACCCTGTATAATGACGGCCGCAGCGTGTTGAAAATGGAGTGGGCAGGGGAGCGGGTGGGCGTGGTTTAGGGATTGATGTTATATGAGAAATAGCCGCGTGAAATGACTACAGCCGCGAGTCTACAGCCAATTGCTTTTATTTGCCTCCATCGGAACGAAATAAAAGCAATAGCGAGCGAGCGGGTCTCCACTTGTCTCAATCATCCGATGGAACACTGTTTGCCACCCACTATTGATCGACACTCAACAGCAAACAAAATGAAAATCTTCTGTGTACAGCCATTTTGTCGAGGTGTAGAGTTAGTAACAGCAAGTAGCCGATTGTTAAGCGTTACCACACACCTAATAGAGTAGGAGTATTAATTGGTAAAGCGGAGGTTGTGCTTTGGAAGTCAAGTATCGGAAGAATGAGCGCAATTGATCAGTTCTTCAGTGGCTTGACCAACCAAAGGCACAACAGCACGAGTTAAGGTCGAACATTGTCTGGTTCAGGCGATCAATCAAAGCAACCCACATTTCACTAGGCGCTGATGCATTGATGGCAATCATCAAAACATCTGCCACCCTATGAAGCACACACGGTTTGACTAGAAGTAGTAAGCGGAAGCTTCAGTGTACAGAAGATTGTCATTTCCCTCTCTACACAGTTTCTCTTAGCGACTATCGGAAGCTGACACCAAGCTGGCCGGTTTACATAAAATTTGTGAAAACAAGCACTACGTGATTGGTTTTTAATCAGAGGACTTAATGGTGTCAGTCCGACAAGCCCCTGCTTCTTTCACATTGCCCCCCCCCCAAAGCAAAACGGACGTGAAGGCATGTTTTTGCTATTTTCCGGTTAGTTTCACTTTAGCCACATTAACAAGTAGAAAATTATGACTATAAACAACCACAAAACCTAAACAATAATAGGCGGATACTCGAAAGACTTACGTTCGCAGGCGAAAGGTTTGTCGGGATCGCCGGGCGTCGGGTCATAGTTGTGACCACCGGGACCAGTTTTCTTGCCCCTGCCCCGTCCGGCACCCCTTTTACGTCCCGGTGTGCTTGGCGTGTCTGCCCCGGAACGGCCCTGAAATCACAACAGTTTATGGTGTTGAAGCCCCCTTTGATTTCAATAGGCAAGATGACAGATTTTGAAATATCGTTGTATAATGTAGGTATACGTCTACTATATCCGAAAACATCATTATTTCCGCAAGAAATTATATGTTTGCTCAAATAATCGCATTTTTATCTTGCCATTTCATATAAGGCGCGAAAACGCTCGTGGGTGTCATGTGACTTGTGACGTCACGACCTTATTCAGTGTGCACGGTGCCTATGTTTAAAGAGGGAAGTTCACAAAATATTATACATTTTGAGCGTTAAAAATGACTTCCAAATTTTACAAGTGCTGTGCGGGTCCTCTATGCACAAACACATCAATAACAACATCTAATAAATTGTTTGTTTTCGTTCTAATCAAGAAAATAGATAAATGGCTAAGGCTCGCAAGGCGAAAACTATCAGATATAAGCAGGAATACAAAACTTAATTTTGGTAAAGACCACTTTGATGTAAAGATTTGCTTTAGATTGATAGAGAAATTCAGAATGTTTTTTTAAGATTAAATATCAATTATATAAACATTATATTAATAATTTTACAATTATCATTCCCTGTAGACTATTTATTCTCCTTTCCGCTGTCTAATGATATGAAAAACTATATGGAGTATCATTTGATGGGTAACCTTTCTAAACCTGAAGCTAAGGAAACAAATCACAGTCAGATGTAAATCCCAATGTCAACAAAACAAGTGTCAAATTCCTAGTTAACTTGTAGTTAAAATATTAGTCACGAGGGAGCGTTCGGACTTTTGACGGCACCGTGACACGACTACTGTCACTATGTGAACGCATGATACAATGAATACAAGGTAGGATATTCATCGGTCGAAAACTCGATTTTCGTGCGCATATGACTGGTTAGCACTTTGGTAAAGTGAACAGCTGAACCCATTTAAAATGCATGTAACCTAGACTGATTTTCATTGAATTCAAAACGCAATAGTTCAAAAGTTGAAAGTTATATGAGGATATGGTTTGCAGTGTTGTATAGCTTAATGCTTTCAAAATCGCGCTGATTTGGGCTTATTGCGAAGAAAAATACCCTAAAGAAGTCTTTACACGATCTCTGATTTTCAGCGTTTTAGCTTGCTGTGTTGCCAGAGTGTCATTCGTGAAATCGGGTGGAGCCAAACGAAACAATGAATTCATTGTATCATGGGGTAAATGCGTTTCGGCGTGTTTGGGAATTTTGTAGACAAACAACTGAGCATTTTGCGCTTAATAGTTGGAAAGTGTACTGTAGATTGTGTGCTACTTTTAAGTGACGGTTCAAAAATATAAAAAATGCGGTGTGCAGTTTACGGTTGCAATAGTAATACAATACTACAATACAATAATAAAAGACAGTATTTTAAGCAAGCTATGGGAGAATGCTTGTTGTCGTGCGGACACCATTAATGTTGCCTCAGCCAGAATATGCTCTCAGCATTTCAAAAATGATGATTATGAGAGGAATTTGCAATTCGAATTTTTGGGGTACCTGCCAAAAGCAAACGCTATACTTTATTGCACAACTCTGCTAGTCTCCAAAATAATTAAATTTTTGTTATTTTTCATTTTCAAGTTTAAAACCTGTGTGTGTTTTGTTTTTCGGGCAAAAAGGCGAAGTGGGCTATTTTGTAATTATAACGAAGATTTATATAAAAATAATTAAATGTGACAAAGATTAAATATATATAGCTTATTTAGTAGACAGGAAAAAATCACGGCACGCAGTGATTTCCACTGACGTCGCACAAATCGACGCAATATCCTACCTTGTATTCATTGTATCATGATGTGAACGAGCTTTTAGTGGGTGATGGTGTCGTTTGAGGTTCTCGGAATTTCTAGTTTTCTCTATTCTTGCCTTAAAGATCACTTCAAATTAAGCACTCTCAATGAAAATTTTTCCTTTAGGGTCCATAAATGAAGACAAAAAAACACTCACAAAGTTTAGAAATTTGAGTATCCAAAACCACTTATGAGATATGGCACGAAAATGAGATTGTCCGGTGCTATTTGCTGCTTAATGTTTTAGGTATCAACAATTCATAACTCCACATGCAAAATTGTCGCTAAGATGCATAATAATTCCGTTTTATGCAAAAGTTTGAGCATCTTTTCTGACCTCGCCTTTGCTTGGGGTTATGTAGCATGTCGATAGTCAGTTGCTAGATTGTTTATATTTCTTTGGAGAATTCAGCACAATGCGGTGTTGCCACCCATTAATTAACAGTTTGTATGTAACAATAAATAAAAAGTATTATTTCAAAATTAATGAACCACTTAATTCAGTGTTTGCTAGCATGGTAGCTAGTGCCTATATAACCCTATCTAACAGTTTTCATTAACTTAAAACATTTTGCGCAGTTTGGCAACACCGTTTGAAATTTATCCTGAAAATAGCGCTTTTTCTTAAAGTTTGTGAATGGTTTTTGGCTTAATTTATGGCAGGGTTCGCTTGATTGTTTTCAAGTGATTTCAATCATGATTTAAATCACCTGACTTTTTGGAAAAAAATTTAAAAAAGAACACAAATAATTCTAAGAAATGAAAATCAAAATAGAAAACGGTACATGTGAACTTAAAAATTAAACGGGATTAATGGTAAACTCAATAATACTAAAACGGAAATCACTTCTCTTTCTCTTCATGTTCATTATAAAGTCTGAAGCGGCACACTAAATTCCCTCCTTTTTCTATTCCCAATCTATTCCTGGTATCTGAATGAACAAATTCGAATGTGCTGAACATCCTTTCGACAGACGCAGAAGATGCAGTTGCACAAAGAAACTGTTTTATTTATTTATTTTATTTATTACTGGCAAGTGTTTTGGAATTTCCGGTTCATCTCTCTGTGATCGCCACCACTAAAGTGTGTTCATATTTTTCAGCACCTCATCAGAAAACATAATTTATTTGAAAGGACTGCAGCGAGCTCACTGATAGTCTCCAAAGCCCGATTCTTCTCTTCAGGAGTAAAAGCGTAGTTTTGTTTCTCCGGGCTTAACATGTAGGCAATAAAGTGATAAGGTGTAAGAGCTTGCTTATAGCGATGTTGAAACTTCTGTAGTTTCTCTAAAAATAAATTTTGAGATTCTTCAAACTTATCTTGCAAAAGTTTTCACTGCTCCACGGCATCAGATTTGTGGCATTTTTCTTCTGGAGTAGATCTAGAGCAACAGCAATAGGCTTCAGAAGGCTCATGTACTCTTGCGCCGCATGCTTTAGTCCTATGTTTGAGACTTTTTTGAAGATAGCAGAATCGATATCATTTGAGTTATCCTCGCAAATCTTGAAAATGATGTCTCATTGTGTGACATACGCTGGAACAGTCGGCCACTGTTCCAGCGAACATCGCTAGGTATCGCTGAATTTGGCTTTGGCCATGTGATTGTTGCGGTAATATTTGACAATTTCGACTATGTGTTCTTTGACATCTTGCACCTGTAAGTCCTTACAAAGCAGGTTTAGGAAATACGAAGAGCAACCATAAGTTATAACTTCGTTTTCCTCATTGCGGTCATATTAGCGGCATTGTCTGTTACAAAAGATCGCACTTAGACACTGAAATTTTGCTTGACACGAGGAAATTAAATTGCACACCAGATCAGTAAGGTATGTCGAAGTATGAGGCTTTCCAAAAGTATCAATGGTTTCATAGAGAAGCGCTCGTCCATCTTCCGTTGTTAATGTAGCGCGTTAATGTTTGACCATCCGTCAATCCCCGAAAGAGATGAAAAACATGCCTCTTTTTCTTCAGTATCAATCTCATCCAAAAGGCTCGATGCGACCGTTTTTCGGGAAGGAGGACTGTATCCAGGTCTCAATAGATGAATGGCTTTCTTGACTTCCAAGTTCTCGATAGATCTAAAACTTGAGTTTGTAACGAAATTGGACATTGAGAGTTGGCTTTCATGTTTCTTTCTCTTGGAAGCCGACTCGGTAGTTATTTGCGTGTAAGATGATGGAGATTCTGGAGGTGAGTTGGAGCTTGCCGAGGGAAATGTAAAGGAGGAAGAAGCACTCCCAGTCTCAAAAAAGTTGGGCGGAAGATCGATTTTTGCATTTGTTGTGCCTTGTTTGTTTTGTTTCCTCTTACAAACGTCATGGTGTGCCTTCAGTCTTTGTACTATGCCTTGAATCTCTTTCTTACACTGTTTGCAAATTGCTCTGCATCCTGACTTATTAGAAGAGGTGGTTTTGATGGAAACCTGCCAAATACTGTCTTATTTTCTTCCAGCCATTGCGTTCTTTCAAACTGCCTTAATATTATTACACAAACACAAACACAAAAAATCAACACACTTTTCAGCATTAGCCTCTCTTGAAATGTTGTGACGAAATGAATAAGACCATTTATAGATTACGCCGGGCAACGTGCGAAAACGAGTCGAGGGCCGTTGCGACAAGAATTTTCCGTCGAAAATGCGTTCGGACAAGTATTGAATCGGTTCAACTAGCTTGAATCTTCTCGGCAACAATTGCAATGACTTTAAAACAGCTAATTAGCGGATTTATCAATTGATTTAATAAATAAATCAGTGATTTTTTATTTTTTTTAATAAAAATCAATTTTTTCCCAACACTGATTTATGGACCCTTTAGGACAAATTTTCACTGAGAGGGCTTAATTTGAAGTGATCTTTAAGGTAAGGATGGACAAAACTACAAATTCCGAGAACCTCAAACGACATCTGCACCTTTTGGTGTCTTAAATTAAATCATTAAACACTTCAGCAAAGTCCCACAGTTCTGCTGATACACGTTTACCCTTATGTAGCTAAGTAGTTGATTAGGTTAGTTGACACATACAGCTGAGTTGTACATTACCCTGCCAGTCCCCTTGCGGCCTCGCCGCCGTTTGGTGTAAGATTCTTCATAATCTAGGTCCGAGTCAGGGTCGGGCTCATCAAAAGTCTCCATTTCTAACATGTCCTGTTCATCGTAGAACCATTCCTGCAATGGGAAAACGAGTAACAAAGCAAGCCTCCCTTCGACAAGGTGGACAAAACCCCACCTTCGAAACTTCTCCAGGCAGCAATTGACTGTCTTTGCTGTCCGTGTCTTGAAGGGCCGGATTTTCGATCTGACTGATGCTGTGCATGTCCGTTTCGCCGTCTAGCAATTCGACATGCCGGGCGTACGCCCTGGCGTTCATGGTAAGATATTGGCGACGTTTTTTGCGCCACCGCTGTCTCGGGTATGAGTAAATCTGGCCGGGATTCAGTCCCGGTAATCGTTGGCGCTTCGCCATGAAAAGAGAGCTGTGGTTCTGGGCCACCCCTGTTTGCGTGTCGATGAACGGCAGCCGCAGCCGCCGCTCGATGCACAATCTGGTGTTGAAGTTGACCGCATTTTCCAAGATTTCCTTGTAAATCGGCTCATTGATGAAGCTGGAAGGCCAATTAATTACCTCGCAATTGCTGCAATAGGGGTCTAGTGCTTACTTTTCGATTTTTTCCAAATTCGATAGGGCATTGTTGGTCGGCGGCTTTATTTCCGGAGGCGCTGGAATGGTGGTGACGGTCGCCATTGTTGCCCAACAAAAAACAACCACAAAACAGCAGCCACTCTGGATTGGGCTTTTCACTCAACGTAACGGTAACGCTCGAAACAGCGGCCAGATAACTCGTGAACCGACGATTAATATAGAGAAAGCGCTCCCTTACCACCACCGCACTGCCCACAAAACAAACCCTCTATCACAGATAGCATAGATAGAGACAAAAGACAATTTGACATTTGACACGGCCGCTTAGTTGGGTGAGTTGAGTCTACTGACCGTGCGCGGCAGCGTTGCCAGGTCCGAAAATCGATTTTCGGTGGGTAAACTCGACACTTTTCGGTGGATATCGTAAAAAATCGGTAGACTCATTCTTCTTTCATTATTAAGGCCGGTTTGCACCGTTGAAAATAAGCTTGGCTTTGCCATTAAGCTCATGCTCGGCTTAAATTAAGCCGTCAACTTTGGTGTTAAGCCGTAAATTCTAGCCTTCGTTTTCCTTCCTCATACATGTGGCGATAGTTAACAAAATTGACAATTACGATAACAAACAAAAAGCGAAAACAATGGATATCAAAACTTATATTGAAAACTATTTGAAGACGCTCTAGTTATCTTTGAGATAATCCAATTTGGGTTTCCTAAGACGATATATAACAGAAATAATTGATGTTTGTGTGTGTAGTATAGTGTTGCGGTGATTTTGAAATTACTACAACAATTCATTAATTATTTAGAAAATTTGCGTTAAAACTTTAGTCAGTACAAAATAAAATTTCAATACATATATAAAATTATTGATAAGAATCTTAAATAGTATAAATACAGTAAAGTCCGCTTATAATGAACCCGGTTATAGTGAACTTTCGGTTCAAACGAACTTTTTTCCTTTAATTGAAACGTCGTCCATAAAGACCAACGTATTTTTTTACAGGTTATAACGAACCCGTTTATAACGAACTGCCGGATATAACAATCAATTTTTAGGATAGTTGTATATTCAGTTTCCGTTTATAACAAACTTCCACGCTCAACAACACCAATCGTGCAGAGTTGTTTATATTAGTGAGAGCGAGAGACAGGCAGTGACTTGTTGTTTTTTGCCGCGTTATGTATGTAAATCGTTTCAGAATGGAAAAACAAAAACGCAAAGCTTTTTCACTAAATGAAAAGTACAAGATTATTAACAAAATAAAAAGTGGAGTAAAGCAGAGTGACATTTGTAAGGAATTAGCACTTGGAAAGTCTACTGTTGCAACAATATGGAAAAAACAAGGAAAACATTTTATCAGCGTATGACAAAACAAATGTTAGATGTAGGAAGTTAAAATTATCTGCACATGAAAAGGTTGACAAGGGACTTCACTCAAAAAAACAAAAGTGGTTCACTCAAAAAAACAAGAAAACGTTCCCATAAGTGGCAGTGTTTTGCAAGAAAATGCTAGTGAAACGGGTAGTAAAATCATAAACAAAGAGTTTGCTTGTTCTAAAAGTTGGGAAGAGCGTTTCAAGAAGAGGCATAATAACAGTAGCCGTAGTAGTAAAAAATTGTTGGAGAGTCAGCCGGTGAAAAATTCTTCTTATGAAAACGTTAGAGGCGATCGATAAAAATGAAACATTTTCTAGAAATCTCTTAGATGCAGTCAATTTCATTCATAGAGCTTGGCAAAAAGTTAGCCGAAAAACCATGCAAATTGCTTTAAGCATGGGGGATTTGTAAGAAAAGAAAATGATTATGAACCAGACGATGAAATTCCACTTAACGAATGGTTAGAAAAGTATA